TTTTTTTATTGGTGACTCGAACTCGAGACCTTTTTATAATTATTGTTTAATATTATTTATCCGTGCATCGCACGGAATACACATTAGTTAATATATATATATATGGGAAAGGAAATGACCTAAAAAGATGCCCGAAGAGAGAATTGGGGATTTAGAAATTTGTTCTTCCACTGCACGCAAACATGTCGCTCCGAAAATTGGCCTCCGCCGCCGTCGTTGAATTAAAGCACCGTAAAAAATGCCTCATGGCCATGAGCGGTCGGCTTGTACAGCGTAACCACGAAGGACCCCACAGACTGTCCTTACTCTCAATTGAAAACAAGTCGCTCGAACCCGTTCAACCCAATCTCCCCAATTCCTGTCGGCTTAATAGCAGCGCCGGCTATGAATTTCTCGCCGGCTGCGACAAATGGGTGGTGTTGCGCCCCAAGGATAAAGAAATTACAACTCCGGCCGAGTTCCTGTGGGACCCCACGACCGACGAGGTCAGGCCCCTTCCTAAATTTCAGGTGAACCCATTCTTTCCCGTAGAACACTCTTGGCATACTTTTTGGGGCGTTGGGTTTGACTCTGGCTCAGGGAACTATAAGGTGGTCAGGTGGTCCTATCTTTATAACGTTCATATAGAGCCCAGTGAGGTCAAAGGGGAACTGCTTTCGGTCGGCACCGATTCGTGGAGGGAAATCCTTTGGTCCCCAAAATATATCCAAGACATAGAGTTCCTCGACTACTGCATTCACATTAACGGTTTATATTATTGGCCCGCGTTTAAGAGTTATGAGAACCGTGCCGTTGTTGTTCCGTTCTATTTCGGCCGCGAAGAGTTCTCGGCTGATCTCATTCCCTTGCCGGAGGTCCGTAAGTTTGGGTTTGGGTTCCCGAAGATGGTTCTTGCAGAGTATCACGGGTCGCTTGCCGTTATTTTTCATGGCTTTCCTGATAGTCTTAGTGAATATATTGCCGACACATATAAACACACCACCTATGTTAAGGCCAACTCTGGTGAAGATTCTTTGTGGTTGAAGATTTGGGTGTGGAGCAATGGGGACCGGAGCTGGTCTCACTTGTCCACAGTCCAAGTTCCCGCGGATGCTGATATTACCGAGGTTGTGGGTCTCTACAATAATGACAAATTGATTCTCCGTGACTCTAAAGGTGCGATTCTGCTTTACGATTGTGGGACATCTGAGTTGGAGAGTTTTGGTGTAATCGATGAAGAATGATGGTTGCGTAGTTTAGTCTCATTATGCTATGAGCAAGAAAAATCGGAGCTCATAGGAAGCAGAACAACGATTTGAACTCATTGCGCCTAGCTTAGCTATGGACAGCTCTGTCTTTGCCCTTTTATTTTTTTTTTTTCTTTAGTTTTTATTTAACTTGTTTATTTATTTCCTATGTCATTTAAGGGTTCGAAGCTTTTATATTGTTTTGAAGGTAATCCAAACTTTTTAAAACAATTTTCTTCAAGTAATTTTTTCTATGAGATCCAACTATACTGCGACTGTAGGTGAAGATAACACCTTTGTGGTCCTATATGGAAATTTCTTAGGATAGAGAGGTGGGTATTATCAAAGTAGAGATCAATTATGGCCTCGTGTAATGAACTGAGTTTAATTCTACTAAAAACAATCTAATGTGGTCAGATCGTCTACAAAGATCGATCCAATTTCGCATGGGGAATATAATGGAGTTTCTGAACATGATGTGATAAGAAATTTTACACCTATTGTTTAATTATATTTATATAAGTATTAATATTTTCTAATGCTAATTATTTTCACATTGTAGATGGAGCATTCGAATATACTATATATACAAAACCCAACAAGTAAAAGAAATCAACCATTCAAGTACGATGATTGATTATGAAAGACTTTGAATTAGTCTGAGTGCGAAAAACACGCTTTCATCCAAAACTACCTTAACGTGGAAAAGACGTATTTGCAGTTATATAAACAATGAAAGAGAAAACTAAAAAATTTAGAGATATAATAACTGGTTCAACAATAATGAAGAAAATCACGATGAGATGATAAAACAAAAAATTGAAATCCAAAAGAAATGAAAAAAATTACAAAATAATTTGTTGAGACCACCACATTGAAGAAGGAAAATAAAATTTAAATAATGAATTTGGATTCCATACAAGATTATTATTGTAGCTTTTTATTTTAACGAAACCTACATGTTCGACCCTTGCTCAGGTGACTATGAGGCGCTCGCTCTTTGTTTGTCTTTCGGCTGCCTTCCTCAACGGTAGTAGGGCCTTACGCCGACGATCGGCCCTTAGCGCACACTCTTGTTTTCAATGGGCGCGTCTTCTTCGAGTCAGTGAGCGTCTATGGCTACGGATGGTTAGATGCGGTCGGTCTTCACCGTCTCTGGTGTCGGTTCGTGGTCTCTGGCCGTCTGCCGCCCGTGTTGCGGTGACGCTGAATAAGGTGTGGTATCGGGGACTAGGCGTGGCTCGGGCAGCCCACGTAGTTTGCGTCGGGGCAGTCGGGATTGTGGCGCCTCTCTCGCTCCCCTTCCCTTTGGTCAATGGTGTGGGTCCGTGTGGGGCTGGTGCTGCTGACTTCGCTAGTGGTGCTAGTCAGGGTCGGAGTAGTGGTGGTGTGGGTAGGCGAGTTTGGTAGTCCTTCGGTTGGGGTCGTGTCGGCTCTCTAGATTGGTTCGGGCCTCGAGTTTTGGCTTCATTTAGGCGACTTTCGGCATCTTCGGGAGCAATTCTTCGGGGTGCGAATTTTTCTTTGGGGTCGCCGGTGCTTCGTTTGGGTTCAGTTTTATCCGCTATGTATCTTTTTTGTTGTGTTGCTTGGTTGGTTTTGTATTTTTTGGTTTGTTTTATCCCGGTTGGGATCATATATTATCCCTGTGGTATCGGTAGGTCTCCATTATTGGAACTTTGTTGTTGTTGTTTTGTGTTTTTCTAGTATTGTGGGTGAGTTTTTTAGTGTTGCTAGTTTCGGCTTTAGGCGTTCTTCGGATTATCCTTCTAGTTTTATACAACCTTTAGTTGTATCATTTAGCTATGAGCGGTTTCTTTGCACTTTTGTGCCTTTTTTATAAAATCTCTACCGTTCCAAGAAAAAACTATTTATTTATTCTAAACTTTGTTCATAAACTTTGTTATAGATTTTAAAATCGAATAAAATTACTCCTTTTTTGGTATATTGTGAAACATTTAATATACATCAATAATATTTAATAAAAATGTTGCTTTCATTATTTTTAAAAGTATGCAAACATACATGAAGTTAATATATTATATGTTTAAATTCTTGTTTTTTTTTGTATTTTATTTTACGCCTTTAGAAATTTTTATATAGAGTTGTGAGTAACTCTGTTTAATCTGAAACCAGCTAGAATTTAACACATCAAACAAGTTAATTTAATGTCTATCAATAANAACTGTAAATATAGAGCCTCGATAACATTTTACCCGGATTTGGGCCCAAGTAATTGTGTACATTGAGCTTAATATAATATATATGGGAAATGACATATAAAGGATGCGCTGAGAGTGAATCGAGGATTTGGAAATTCATTCTTTCTCTTCACGCAAACATGGCGCTACGAACACTCGGCGCCGCCGCCGTTCCCGGATTAAAGTCCCATACAACCCCACCGCTCATGGCCATGAGCCGGATTTTACATCGCGATCCTTCTTCCGACGTCCGTTGTTTCGGCACTCCTACGCTCGCCCCTGCGGCCCTCGGCTGCAGTCTAGAGCAGAACAACATCACCGGAAACGCCGACAATCTCATGCTTGTGGTGGAGCTGCGTTCCAACATCAGATTCCTCAGACTATCCGTACTCTCAATTGAAAACAAGTTGCTCGGATCCGCTCGACCCAATCGCCCCAATTTCTCTCGGCTTAATAGTCGCGCCGGCTATGAATTTCTCGCCGGCTGCGACAAATGGGTGGTGTTGGAGTCCGAGGATGAAGGTACTACAACTCCGGCCGAGATCCTGTGGGACCCCACGACCGATGAGGTGAGGCCCATTCCTCAATTTCAGGTGAAACCGGGACTACCATTATCTCACTCTTGGTATACCTATTGGGGCGTTGGGTGACTCTGGCTCAGGGGACTATAAGGTGGTCAGGTGTTCCATTCTTGATTACGATGGTCGAGTGAGCAGTGAGTTCAGAGGTGAGCTGCTTTCTGTCGGCAAAGGTTCGTTGAGGGAAATCCGGTTCCCCCACGACCCGGACAAAATCAATTTCCATAACGACTACTCTATTCACATAAATGGCTTTCATTATTGGATCGCATTTTTAGATGATGTTGACCATTACGTTATTGTTTCGTTTGATTACGGCTGGGAAGAGTTCCTGCCTGATCTCATTCCCATGCCGGACTCGAAAATGGGTGTGTACGTGTGGCACCCGGAGATCGTTCTTGCAGAGTATCACGGGTCGCTTTCCATTATTTTGCAAGAAGATGAACCTAACCTTAGTGAGATGAAGATAATCTTAATGTTAATGAAGCTTCTTTGGAGTTTGAGATTTGGGTGTGGAGCAAGGGGGACCGAAGCTGGTCTCGCTTGTCCACAGTTCTTCTCCCACTTGATGTTGATGTTGAAGAGGTTGTGGGCCTCTACAATAATGACAAAGTGATTCTCCGTGACTCTAAAGGTGCCATTCTGCTTTATGATTGTAGGACATCCGAGTTAGAAAGTTTCGGTGATTATAAGGATGTTGGTTTTACGGTTTACCCTTATTATTCTAAGAGCAAGCAAACTTGAGCTCAATAGAAAGTGGAACTGCGTTTTTTATGAACTCATTATTTTCTGTATTTATTTTATTCCTAGGTCATTTATAAGGGTTGGAAGCTTTTATATTCGCTCTTTGATATTGTTTTGAAGGTAATCCAAATTTTATCTTCTATTTTACAGTATATACTTACTTCCTCGTNTTGGTATCTTGATCGGACATGATTAGCCTATAGATCCTAGATTAATCCTGCGTTTGTGAATAAAAACGGTGGCCTCAAGAGTCAAGACTGCTCGGCCGGGATAAAAATGCATTTAGTCTTGCACATGCAAACTCTAGTCAGAGGCCAGGAGACACCACAATGGCCTCTTTGCAGGGTAGTAATCCTTCGCTTCTCGGTTGCTGCTGTAGTTGTTGGGGTCTCAATGGTCGCCTGTTGGCGCTCGGCAAGGGCTGCTATTGCGCGCGCAAGACCGCGGGAAGTGTTAGGGCTTGCAGTAATGTGAGCCCAAAATATTGGTGGAACAACACTTTCAGCTCTTTTAACGGGGGCCCAAAGAAGATTGCTTAAATGGGTAAGGATTTTTTACGAATGTATCAATCCTTTTTTTTTTTTTTCAAACAAACAACAACAACAACAACAACATACCCAGTATATTCCCAACAGGTTGGGGTCTGGGGGGTCAGTTGTACGCAGACCTTACCCTTGTAATTATACAAGGAGGCTGTTTCCGTAGCGACCCAAGGTGCATTGCGCCGTTTGATATACTTTTCTACAAACTTCACTAATAGAAGAAGCACTAAAATTTAATTGAGTCATTTTGATATAGTCCATTATTAGCACTATGTCAGGAGAATTGTCAACAATGACTCTTCCAGCTCCATTTGCAATGCACGTATGTACATTAAGGTATCCAACTAGATACACAGCTCCTACCTCAGACATGCCCAAGGAAAGAGTCCACAAGAAAGACCATAATGCTTTCTCTCTAAAGCCAACATGGCTGAAGCAACAAACAACTAACCACCAACCAAAAAGAAAGAGAAAATACAAGAGAAAAACATAGACTGAAGAGTTAAAATAACATCTATTACGCAAGCAAATCTAGAAGGAGGAGAAACAGAAGAAATTAAAAAACTGACAATTCCTTGGACTCAATCAAACACACCACATTTGTCCATCCTGTGTCAAGTGCATCTTCAAGCATTCTCCTGAGAGTTAATAATATAGCTTCCTTGTGAGATCCAGCATACATAACCAAAGGTTGCCAAGTCTTCAGTAACACATTATCTTTGACAGCAGAGCCCAACAAAGTTGCAGTCCCCACAGAAGAAAAATGAGCACTGACAGAAAGTGCAACCTGTCCTACTCCATTTCCATCATCCATATCCTGACTCACCATAGCAACATTGTTAACATTCTGTTTGACAGATATCATATTTACAAAGTCCAGCCAATCACCCCTTGCTTTTCTCACCACTTCAATCTCATCAAACACTACCCCGTTAGAAATCCAGTTATTTCTAGCTTTCCATATATGCCACATTAAATGAACTGAAAGAGTAATCCTCTCATTAAGACAATTGATTTTAGGAAGAGAACACAGCTCTTCCCACCAGAAATTAACTGATTGTTAAATGGATAAGGATTAATCACCTCAATTAAGACTACACCCTATCACGAATATCAACCGTACGATTCTTATTGACGAAAATTAAATATACTATAAATACGCTAAATGGTGTACCATCAAAATACAATTTTAGCATTTTCTTATTGAATTTTTAAAATAATTTTCTAGCAATTTCTTCTATGTGATCCAATTATACTCGAGTGAAGATCAACACTTTGTCGGTCCTTAATGGAAATTTCTTAGAGGTAGACATATATCATCAAATTTGACTCCGAACAAGTATAATTCTATAAAATTCAATCCAATGTGGTCAGATCATCCACAATGATCGATCCAATGTCACATGGGTAATATCTATACAACTATTAAATTTTTTAAATTTTGTTGGAGCAAAATGAAAGAGCTTCTTAACATGATGTGATAAGAATTTCACACCATTGTTTAATTCTATTTATCTAAATATTAATATATTCTAATGCTAATTAATTTCACATAGTAGATGGTGCGTGCGAATATACTACATATGCAAAACCCAAAAACTAAAATTAATCAACGATTCAAGTACGACCATGCATGGTTGATTATAAAAGATTTTGAATTGTTTGAGTGCGCATCAATCACGTAATACACGTTTTCATCTCAAATGCAATCAGATGCACAGCCCGAGTCTCCTATTTTACCTAATCCAAGCAATCTAATTTTTTCATTACTTTAAGCGATAAAAATGCTATTGGTGGTTCGTCATCACAACAAAGACGTATTTGAAGTTATACAAACAATGAAAGAGAAAAATAAAAAATTAGAAAGACAATAATGGGTTTAGCAATAAAGATGATCATGATAGTGAGATGATAAGACAAAATATTGAAATCCAAGACAATGAAGATGATCATGACAAGAGAATGACAATTATTGCAGACATCACGAGTCAAAAACACATTTGGTTCTTTTAGAGTTCTTTCAAGATCTAGACAGGTCTAGTGTGGAAGTGGTTTGAGATACTACTAGAATAAAAATTTAATTATTCACGTAGAATTTAAGTCAAATTTTAATCATGTTGTTTTTATTTGTGTAAT